AGAGAGAGAGAGAGAGTCCTAGTGTTCCCACAGTCTCCACCATGCTCCATTGTTTCATTGGATGGTCATGACCCCAATGGACTGTGATAGCTTATTTGATTATAACATACTTCATCTTTCACTATTTTTTATCATGATCTCATATTGCAGCTGTACCCGCACATCCTGCACTATGGTAAAGTAGATGCAGAGATAAACACCTTAAGATTTTGTCTATCAAGACCATGCAACAAAGGGGACCAGTGTCATCTTAGTTATGGGAGATTTGCTAGTTCTCATCTTGTGACCTTTTATGGATTTTGCCCAAGAGGAAACAACCCTTATGATGTCATTCCGCTGGGTATTTTTCTGAGTGGCATTTGTTCTGCTTTGATGTCATTAGGAGAGTAATGGAAAGTACACCATTCCACGACCTATGTAGGGTATTTGTACACATCTGGGGATTCACCATCTGTTCTTAATGATGGATGGTGAGACTGGACATAGTTCCCAATGACGAACAGTCACAACGGCACCATTAATCTCTACCATCCATGTTTAAATAAATGGTGAATGTTTTGGCTGTGTACTGTGTACTGTACACAGGTTGCTATATATGGTATGATTTTTGATGGAACGATGCCCATGAATAGATCATCTTAATTGGCACGTACTTATCATGTGTGGTGAACCACCATAGGGAGTGATGTGATATGGCATACAAATCAAAACGCTCTTCTTTATCCATGTGGTTCTTTTGATATAGCATAATTGATATCTCATGAGCTAACAATTAGGTCTATATATACATGGATGCCTGGTTTATTGAACTTCTTATTGAAAGCATACCAGCTAAAAATAAATATGTACAAATGACAACATGCAAGGATTGTATGCAATCCCACATGAATGCTTTGAAAACATAAAATGCACTGTAATGTAATGGACTGCCAAAAAGCAGAGTCCATTGGGGTCATTGCCATCCATCATTTATCTGGATGGTGATGATCCCAGTTGACTGTTGTTTTCCATAGTCCATTGGACTTACACTTCCCTAAATATCAATGCTAAGAAAGTGTTTTTTGTTCCCTAATGAACATAGGGGATGAAATCAAGGTATATACAGGAGTTTCGTGTTGCACAATGTACATGATTAATGAAAATGCAACCTGTTAGGCTCATAAACATGGGTTATTATTTGATGGGTGGGTTTTATTTAGGCAGTGGTCTATTTTCCTGTGATGGGCCATGTGCCCATGTAAAGCTTATTTCAAACTCAGTCAATTAATAATGAAAACTATGGAGAATAAATTGAAATGTAAAAGCAAGGAAGGCATTTTCTATTTGCCCATTTATTTATTGTTTTTGCAGATATTGATGCCCCTCAAGAATCTGATTTGGATGTGGTTGATGACGGTGATCGCATAACTCACATGGTTCGAGGAACATGGCTTTGCAAAAACAAACTGCTCAATTATGGGTTGCCATCTCCTTTGTTGGTGCATCTCCGATGTGTTTTGCTAGACAACAAGAATGTCAACTCACCTACTCGAACTCAAGAAACCCAAGTGAGTCTCTCTCCTTACACTTACAATAGTGTTGTCACTGTGACCATCTATATTGTAATACCCATCTTTCATTGCTTCTGAAACACAACTGGTTTTTGAGTGTTGAAACGTGATGGTGATATATCAGGCCATTCAGTGGGCCAAGTGTATTGTAGTAATCAGGTCTAATTTTTCCTTTTCACTACTAACTATTTTGTTCCTTGATATCTTTTTGTGTGTGTGTGTGTGTGTGTGTGTGTGTGTGGTGGTGTGTGTGTGTGTGTGTAGATGAGAGAGAGAGAGAGAGAGAGAGAGAGAGAGAGAGAGAG